AAACTGTGGCACAGCCTGACAATGGTACATTATTCAGCACCAAAAGATATGAACTACCAAGCCATGAAAAGAGAGGAAGCTTAAATGCATACTGCTAAGTGAAAGAAGCCAATCTGAAAAGGCTATATTGCATGATTCCAGCTGGAAGGCATTCTACAGAAACAGTAAAATGATCAATGGTTGCCAGGGATTAGGAGACAGAGAGGGAGATGACAGGTGGAGCAGAGATTTCTTATTCTATGGTTAACTACAAGGCTAGACAGGTCATTCCACATTTGTCAGAGTCCACAGAACATACAACACAAGAGTGAGGCCTACTGTAAACTATGAATTTTGGGTCCCCGTAGGCTCGGTCATTGTAACAAATGTAACCCTTCGGTGGACTCCAGTGCAGGATGTTCACACTGGGGGAGGCTGTGGGTGTATGGAGGCAGAAGATAAACGGGCACTCTGAACTTTCTGTTCAATTTAGCGGTTAAGCTAAAATGTCTCTAAAATATGAAATGTTTTATACAAGAAAATAAGAAATGTATTAAGGGGTAAGAATCTTCACCATTGCTTTTTTAAAAAATGATGGCTTGAGCCCAAGAGTTCAGGGCTGCAGTGAGCTATGACTGTTCCACTGCACTTCAGCATGGGCAACAGAGACTAGGTCCTCTCTCTTAAAATGTATTTCACTTTACTGACCTATATTAGATATACATATTTCCAGGGTACATGTGATAATTTGAAACATTCATATAGTCAAATCAGGGTAACTGAGGTATCGGTAATCCTAAGTATTTGTATTTTTCATATACTAGGAACATTCAAAATTATTCTCTTCTATTCTTTTTTTTTTAAATAGAGGGGTGATCTTACTATATTGCCCAGGCTGGTCTTGAAATACTGAGCTTAAACCTCCTCGCCTCAGCATCCAAGTGCTGGGACTACAAGCACATGTCACCGCATGGGACTAATTTTTGTACTTTTAGAAAGACATACGGTTTCACCATGTTGCCTAGATTGGTCTCAAACTCCTGAGCTCAAGTGATCCGCTTGCCTTGGCTTCCTAAAGTGCTGGGATTATAGGTGTGAGCCACCGCGCCCAGCCCCTCTTCCAGCTATTCTGCAATATACGATTCAAGGCCAGATGCAGTGGCCTCCATCTGTAGTCCCAGCTACTTGGGAGGCTGAGGCAGGAGACTCTCTTGGGCCCAAGAGGTAGAGGTTGCAGTGAGCCAAGATCCCACCACTGCACTACAGCCTGGGCAACCAGGATAAAAAACTCTGTCTCAAAAAAAGGAAAAAAAAGAAATGTACAATTCATTAATGTTAACTAGAGTCCTCTACTAATCAGGTTTTTAAAAACAGAGTTTAAAAACAGAACTAAGATTCTAAATGTCCATCAATAGGTAATACAGATAATTTTGTTTTAAAAAAAGACTAAGTTATGATACACCCATACTAGTTAGTTTAAAAAAAAAAAAAAAAAACCTAGGTACGCTGAGATAAAACAAAGTCCCAGATGTACTTAAGAGCAAACTGATGAACAGCTCACATTTTGTGGAAAACAATTATATATTATGTATGATGTACTGTTTGAATTTTCTACAATACCATTTTTAAATTACAAAATAACTTATGAGCTTTCAGTAACCGTAAGTGGCAGAACTCTGAAAAGAAAAAAGGAACACACACACACACACACACACACACACACACACACACACACACACAGAGCCAGGGATCTCCAAACATCCTTATACACAATTTTTTAGTATCTGCTAGAAATATGTCTTAAATCACTTATTTCTAATTAATGTTGCAATAAATGCTGAACAACCAAGACTTGCACATTCTTCCAAAAACTTTTTTTTTTTTTTGGAGACAAGATTCTCACTCTGTCACCAGGCTGGAGTGCAATGGTACAATCTCGGCTCACTGCAACCTCTGCCACCACGCCCAGCTAATTTTGTATTTTTAGTAGGGTGGGATTTCACCATGTTGGCCAGGATGGTCTCGATCTCTTGACCTTGTGATCAGCCCGCTTCAGCCTCCCAAAGTGCTGAGATTATAGGCGTGAGCCACCATGTCTGGCCCTAATTTTCAAGAGTCACTGATAAACACATGGATACATTCATATGATAAAATATTATACCTAGTTATTTAAAACCTTTATAAACAATTTTAACAGCGTGGAAAATGCTTAGGTCCAATGCCCAGGAAGACAATACACACTCTGTCTTTATTGTATGCACACAAAGATACACAATATGCACACAAAGATAATGTATCATCTCACTTATATAAATATGTACAAAAAAATACTGAAAGAAGTACCCCAAAATGTTTAACAGTTATCACCTCTGGGTGATGGAATAATAGGTAAAAATTTTTTAATTCTTTGTACTTTTCTTTATCTATGAACTTTCCACAATATGTAAATGTTACTTTTAGGTTAGTGGTTTTTTTTCCTCCAGAGTAGAAATCATTGCTCTTTACTGGTTATAAAATAATGCATTTCTACAAAGCTGTCCTCATCCTGCCGAGCCCCTTCTCTCTAGTGAACTTTGTTCACTGTAAGTGCTAGGTGTTTACTTGGTTAATAAATGGAAGGACAGGCAATTCTATAAAGTCAATCCTTTTTTATCCCATCTAAGGAAAACCCCTAGGTCCCATGCAGCCCAACACCTTAACAACTTAACAACTTCATTTCCCTGAAAAGTATGTCTGGGAGCCTTTCCATGACAAAGTATATAAATCTTGACATTCCTCTTCAATTTTCATAATGTGAACACTACCAATGAGCCCTGGCTTAGTTCATCTGTCTTCCATTGCCTGACACTGACAAGTCATCTCCACGGGTTTGCTGTGCAGCTGCCTGAGGTGCACACCCAGCAGCCGCTGTTGGGACCTCCCACGTGAGCTGGGTTCTGGAAGAAAAGAAGAAACTGTTTCTAGCACTCAGCGGGGGCCTGTAGTGGCTACAGCCAGGAAAGGGACCAAGACGCGGGATGAGACCAGAGCTGCTGGGGCGGGGGCAGAGAGGGCTGCTCCCGGGTCCCTGAGCATCCAGGCACCTTGCCCTCTCCCCCATCCCATCCCCTGCTGCCAGCCCCACCTCGGCTGCTGCTACGCAGCAGGAGGGCACAGTCTCAGCACCCCCAAAGGGCTTGGGACCCATGTGCAGGGAGCAGGCCGGGTGTCCCGGGACAAACTTGAGCCCCAGCACTGCTAGCTTCCAGCTGTGGGAAGGGCTGGAAGCAAGAAGGACCTGGAAGCAGTGCTGAGCCCGAGGGCAGAGAGCAAGGGACATCTCCCTGAGGCTGGCCTGGCACACTGGCTGCCATCTCCAAGTCAGCAGGGGCCACCTTTGCGGCTGGAACACCAGCATGCTCCCAGAGGAGAGCTTAACATGCCCCCAGAGGAAAGCTTGGCCAAAAGCATCCTCCAATTCCCAAGAGAAGTTGCCCACATTGCTTGGGACCCCTGGGAAGCCCTGCTGGCAAGAGCAGTCAGGGGACAGCACCCCTGCCTGCCTAGGGTCTGGGATCCGGGCCTTGCTCAGGCTGCCTCCACAATGGGGCTCCTCTTCAGTATTCCAGCTCTCCGGTTCTGAAACCAAACCTGGATTCGGGGCTCGGGAATCTGTTTTTCTGTCCAGTTGTTCTCTGACAGTAATTCCAAGTAATGGTCCATTTCAAAGGCCTCAATAAGAATTGTGTATTAATATTTGTCAAACTTGGTCCTCCTGCACTTCTGCCCTGGCTTAGGTGTGCCTGAGCCATGAGCTGAGCTCGCTGTCCAACTTTAAACTTTGAAAACAATTATAATCAGGGCTTAAAATAAAACTGTGAATTTATTCTATAAGCAATACCACTGTTTGAAAATTGATTTAACTTTCCATATTCTGTTTTTTTTCTTCTAGGTCTATGAAAAATAAGATAAAATTAAATTCTGACTCCAAGACTCCAATAGGTAATACAATAGAAAAATTGACTAATATAACTTTAAACTGTAATAACAGAAAGATAGTGGCTGACAGGCACACAGCCTGAGAAACAAGCAAGAGTATGATCCAGGAGTGAAGAATCAGCGAACCTGGATGCTACCTGTGGTTCCAGCACTCACTATCTGTGCTAGTTTCACAACCCTCTGACTGTGGAATGCCATCTATAAAACAGAGACAAAATCTTCCTCTTGGGTCACTGTGAACATTGAAGGATATAGGGGCATGAAAAGCATTTGAGTACTATGCTGGCATAAAGTTTCAAAATGTGCTCAGTATTCTTAACATTCATTTCTGAGTACAACCTAAGATGGACACATTGTGACCAACTGGAACATACTTAGGAGGGCAACAAGAGATGAACAGAGACCCCAAAATAAAACCATCTGAAAAAGCACTCGAAGCAACTAGCTTGGACTCAGACAGTAAAGGAGATACAATGACTGAACATTTAAAGGACACATGGAAGCAGGCTTATTTGGCAAAGTTCAAGAAAACAAAGCTTTCACAAATTACAGGGAGGGAGATTTTTAGCGCTCTATAAGAAAGAACATGTTCAAAACTGGAATACATCACAGGGTGAAATGGCTCATGCCTGTAATCCCAGCACTTTGAGAGGCCAAGGCAGGCCTGAAGTCAGGAGTTTGAGACCGGCCTGGCCAACATGGCAAAACCCTGTCTCAACTAAAATTACAAAAATTAGCTGGGTGTGGTGATGGGAGCCTGTAATCTCAGCTATTCAGGAAGCTGGGGCTTGAGAATCACTTGAATCCAGGAGGCAGAGGTTGCAGTAAGCCTAGATCATGCCGCTACACTCCAGCCTGGGCAACAGAGCAAGACTTCATCTCAAAAAATAAATTTTAAAAATAAGAAATATGCATTTTTAAAACTTCAAATTATTTATCTTAAAATATAAAAGAAATGTAATACATATAGAAGCTTTTAGCTTCAAAGGTACCTTTAAAACCTTAAACAAGAAAGGTGGAAAATAAAGTGCTCCAAGACTTACACTTTGCTTCTGAAAGATTTTGATTGGGCGACCAGACCAACATGCCAAGATTGTCGCGTTCTTGACTGCGTCTTGCCAGTTTGGCTTGGGAGAAAGAAGAAACAAAATTCTTATTAAAATTTAACACATATAATAAGTTATCACTAACAATACCTTTTAGGTCTTTTAAGCCTCAGGACAAAATGACATCAGCCACCTTTACCTGTATCTGGCCGAATGGGACCACACACTTAACATCACAGAGTGAGGATGGAGATGGGGGAGGCTACAGAGTCTGCTGAAACATTTCAACTTACAAATCCTTTCCTACTTTATTTTTACTGATTTGATAGTACGCTGCTCTGCTTTTAGACAAGAGACATCCAACAAGAAATCCACATTTGGCAAGTTGCTTAAAGGTTCTTTTAAAATGTTAATTCTTCATGTGTGCTTGCAACACCTTTACCCTTCTCTGCCTAACTTTTTAGTGACTTGGCAACAGAAATCCCAAAATTCTTTTAACAGCCTTATTAAAGAATAACCATTTAAAATTTTTAACCTGCAAGAAAACTTCTAAAATGGATACTAATTCTTAAAAATCTGTGATGCAAAATAGTAGGTCGAAAGGTTTACAAGTGTCAGGGGTGGAACTGACAGGTATTACCGAATTAACTGCAAGCAACTGTTATATATTATAATGCACATATGTAAAACATCTTCAAAAAGTAAAGACTCTAGAAACAAGAGGTTCAGTGACCACACCTTCGTACTGGTTAGGCCCGAACTGAATCATTCTTAAGGTAATTTTGGCCTTTTTTTTCCCTTTAAATAAACTATTCCAGGCCAGGTAAAGTGGCTCACATCTGTAATCCCAGAACTTTGGAAGGCCGAGGCAGTCAGATCATGAGGTCATGAGTTCGAGACCAGCCTAGCAAGCATGGTGAAACACCATCTCTACTAAAAATACAAAAATTAGCTGAGCGTGGTGGTCCATGCCTGTAGTCCCAACTACTTGGGAAGCTGAGGCAGAAGAATTGCTTGAACCCAGGAGGCGGAGGTTGCAGTGGGCCAACCTCCATCTCCTGGGTTCGAGCAATTCTCCTGCCTCAGCCTCCCGAGTATCTGGGACTACAGGCACGTACTATCAAGTCCGGCTAATTTGTATATTTTTAGTAGAGATGGGGTTTAATCATGCTTACCAGGCTGGTCTTGAACTTCTGACCTTGTGATCCACTGGCCTTGACTTCCCAGAGCGCTGGGATTACAGCCATGAGCCACTGCACCTGGCCCGAGTCTACCTTTTTTATAAATGTATATGTAGTTCTGACTTTCAGAACAATGCTAATGCTACACATAATCTAAAACTAAAGTCAACAAATGTATGCGTGGGGAGGGACCCCAAAGTGAATACAGAGACAAATGAGTCCTGCCATATTTCCAATAAAAGTCTAAAGTAAAACAGAATAAAAGGCACCCAGAGTGGAGTGGTGCAATCAAAACTGCATGATCGTCTCTGTAGAAAATCTACACTTTGTGCAATCTACAAAATGCTCCTAGAATAAATGAGTTTAGCAAGGCTGTAGGAAATCAGATTAATAGTAAATAATTCCATTTCTATATACCAGCAATAAAAAACATCAAAAAATCAAAGTTAAACATCATTAGCATCAAATATGAAATAACTTAGGGATAAGGTAAGATGTGTACACTGAAATCTATAAAAGACTGCTGAGAGAAACTAAAGATGACCTAAGTAAATGAAGATATATATCGTAGACACAGACTCATTATTAAGAAGGCATTCTTCCCAAAGTGCTCTAAAGATTCAATACAATCCCAATCAAACTTGTAGCACATTCTTTTGCAGTAATTGATAAACATTCTACAATTCATAAAGAAAGGCAAAGTACCTAAGACAGCCAATGCAATTTTAAAAAAGGGCAAAGTTGGAGGACCTATACTATGTAAATCAAGACTATACAAATTCAGTAATCAAGAATGTATGGTACTGGCATAAAGATAGAGAAATAAATGGAATAGAGTTCAAAAATAGAACCACACGTACAGGATCAAATGATTCTCCATAAAGGCACAAAGGCAAAATCAAACCAAAAATAACAATCTTTTCAACAAATGATGCCAGAACAAATGAATATTCATATGCAAAAACCAAACAAACATTTTTCTTTTTTTTGAGACGGAGTGTCGCTCTATCGCCAGGCTGGAGTGCAATGGTGCACTCACTGCAACTTCTGTTTTCCGGTTTCAAGCAATTCTGCCTCTGCCTCCCGATTAGCTGGGACTGCAGGCATGCACCACCATGCCTGGCTAATTTTGTTTTTCGTATTTTTAGTAGAGACGAGGTTTTACCATGTTGGCCAGGATGGTCTTGATCTCTTGATCTCATGATCCGCCTGCCTTGGCCTCCCAAAGTGCTGGGATTACAAGTGTGAGCCACCGTGCCCGGCCAAAACAAACATTTTTTAAAAAACTTAATTTGGATCCATACCTCAAAATTATCTCAAAACAGATGACAGAACTACATGTGAAACCAAAAAACTGGCTGGGCGCAGTGGCTCACACCTATAATCCCAGCACTTCGGGAGGCTGAGGCAGGCAGATCACGAGTTCAGGAGTTCGAGATAAGCTTGACCAACACGGTGAAACCCCGTCTCTACTAAAAGTACAAAAAAATTAGCCAGGCATAGTGGTTCGTGCCTGTAATCCCAGCTACTCAGGAGGCTGAGGCAGGAAAATCACTGGAACCTGGGAGTGGAGGTTGCAGTGAGCCCAGATTGCCCCAATGCACTCAAGCCTGGGCAACAGAGCAAGCCTCTGTCTCAAAAAAAAAAAGAGAAAAACACATGAAAATCCTTTTGACCTTGGGTTGGGAAAGGAGATCTTAGAAATGATACCAAAAGCACAATCCATCAAACATTTTTTAATGGTATACTGTACTTAAATAAATTTTGAGACTTTGCTCTGCAAAAGGCACTGTTGAGATACACTGCACACTGTAAGAAAACATTTGCAAATCACATATGCAGCAAAGGACTTGTATCCAGAATACATAAAGAATTTTCAAAGGCAACAATAAGGAAAATAACCCAGTTGGTTGTTTTTGGTTTTTTTGTTTTTTTTTTTTTTGAGACGGAGTCTCGCTCTGTCACCCAGGCTGGAATGCAGTGGTGCAATCTCGGCTCACTACAGCCTCCACCTCCTGGGTTCAAGCGATTCTCCTGCCTCAGCCTCCCAAGTAGTTGGGACAACAGGCATGCTCCACCACACCCAGATAATTTTTGTATGTTTAGTACAGACTAGGTTTCACCACGTTGGCCAGGATGGTCTTGATCAGCTCTTGACCTCGTGGTCCAGGCGCCTCAGCCTCCTAAAGTGTTGGGATTACAAGCGTGAGACATTGCGCCCGAACAATAACTCAATTTTTAAAAAATGGCCAAAAGATTTTAACAGTCACTTCACCAAAGTAGATATACAGGTGGCATACTGCATAAAAAGATGCTCCACATCATTAGCCATTAGGAAAATGTAAATTAAAGCCATGATGAGAAAACATTATTTGCCTGTTAGGCTGTCTAAAATAAAAGGCATCAACAATAGAAAGTGCTGACAAGAATGGGAACAACTGAAATTCTCATACGCTGCTGGAGTAAATGCAAAATTACAAAGCCATTCTGGGAAAGTTTTACAGTTTTTTTACAAAGATATAATTATATTTACCAAATGACTGACATAGCAACCCCACTGTTCAGCCATATACCCTACAGAATTAGTACATGCTCACAATAAAATCTGCACACAGCTGTTTATGGTGGTGTTATTCACAATCACCAAACACTGAAATATTCAAATGTCCTTCAATGGGTAGATGAATAAACCAACTGTAGCACATCCATACACTGGAATAGTACACAGCAATAAAAATAGTGAACTACTTATATATTCAACAGCATAGACGTATCTCCAAAGCATTACAGTGACTGAAAGAAGCCAGTACAAGTTCATTTATACGACATTCTGAAAAAGGCAAAACTACAGGGATACAGAATGGATCCGGGGTTTCTAGGGGCTAGACGTGTGAGGAAGGTTAAGAAAAGTCTGAGGTAGTTCTTGAAGGAGACGGAACTCTTCAGTATCCGAATTGTGGTGGTGTTATATGAAACTCCAGTAGTCCCCCCTTCAGCATTCAGTTACCCATGATCCACTGTAGTCTGAAAACATTCAACTGAAAATTCCAGAAATAATTAGATATGGTTAAGATCTACGATCAGTTGATTACCCTTCATAATGTGGGTGGGCCTTATCCAGTTCACCTAAAGGTCCTAAGAGCAAAAATTGAGATTTTTACAAAAGTTGAGACTGAAGCCTTGACGCCTTCCTACGGCCTGCTCTACAGATTTCAGACTTGTCAGGCCCCTATAACTACATAAACCAATTCCTTAAAATCAATCTCTGAATATATATACATAGATACACCCATACATATTCTAGTAGTTCTGTTTATCTGGGGAACCCTACTACACAGTAACACAGATAGTTACTACAGAAATGTTTATAGGACCAATATAGAGGAAAACCTTTAAAATACATCAACAGGGATTGGATACCGTGGTATGTGACTTCAAAGGAATTAAACACGGGAAAACAAAAATCAGATCTACAGCTATCAACCAGGTTGACTAGAAAAGGCAACTTAAAGGATATGTATAATATCATAACTTAAATGTTGAAAATATAAAATTGGTACTACTAGTTATGGGGTACATTTAAAGAATAAGATGTGTACAACAAAGATATTCTTAAAATCAGGTTAAGAGTCATTGTAAGAGAGGAAGAGCTTGCTTTGTCACACTGCAATGTTTCACTGTTCTCTGAAAAGCCCAGTGTTAAGCAAATACTATTTTGTGTATATTAATGTTCATATACATCTAAAACTTTTTTTTAAGAATTAGAGAGAAATCCTTCACTGTATGATTTGATGTTACCTGATATAATGTCTGTGTTCAAATTTAATATCACCTAGTCCAACACTAAGGAAAATACTCTTCTAGCATATTTTCAGTTCTGCTCTGAAACCCTGAGTTATTTCTCACTCTATAATGCCATATTTTACTTGTCAACTGTTTGGAAGCAGAACAGCAACTTACACGTACATTCCCACTTCAAGGATTGTGGGTTCCAATTTCTCCACATCCTCACCAACACTTGTTATTATCTGATTTTTTGATTCTAGCCAGCAGGTGTGAAGTAGTCTCTCACTGTGGTTTTTATTTGCATTTACCTGATGAATAAAGAGATTGAGCATATGCCACCTGAATATCTTCCATGGAGAAATGTATATTCAGATCTTTTGCCTGTTTTTAGTCAGATTATTTGGCTAAAATGATGGGAATTTAAAATGGTCCCATTCCTCGAAAGGTCAGTTGTCATATAACTCAGCAAATCCACTCCTAGGTTTACAACCCAGAGAAATAAAAACATAGGTCCACACAATAATTTGCATACAAATTTTCATAGCAGCATTACCTAACAGCTAAAAGGTGGAAACAACTCAACTGCCCGTCAACTGATGGCTGAATTTAAAAATCCAGTATGTCTATATGACAGAACATTATACTGTCATGAAAAGGAATAAAATACTAACACATGCTTAGTATGAATGAAACTTGAAAACAGTAAGTGAAAGCAGCCAGTCACATGTACAAAAATCCACAACCTATTTACATGAACTGTCCAGACAGAAAGATTAGTGATTGCCAGAGGGTGGGGAGGCACGTGGAAGTAACAGCAAGCCATTGCTAACAGGTATAGCTTTTTTTTTTTGTTTTTGAGACAGTCTTGCTCTGTTGCCCAGGCTGGAGTGCAGTGGCACGATCTTGGCTCACTACAACCTCCACTTCCCAGGTTTAAAAGATTCTCCTGCCTCAGCCTCCCGAGTAGCTGGGACTACAGGTGCGTGTCACCATGCGCTGATTTTTCTATTTTTAGTAGAGACGGGGTTTCACCATGTTGGTCTCAAAAGAGAAAAAAAAAATTTCCTCCCCATGATATCCATTAAGTATTTTGTATTTTACACTAAAGTTAAATGGCTTAAGGACTCTCAACTGGCAACAGTTCATTCTCTATAAAATGAGGAGGTCAGAAGCAACTTTGGTAATTTAAATACCTGTATCTGTCTACAAAGTATATACCTACTGTCTGACTTCTCTAATCTCTTGCTTTTTACATGCTCAAAGTTTAAATTGGAACAAATAGGTCCATAATTTCCAATCACCAGCTCTCTAGAATTAAAATCTACAATAAATATAGGCATGCTGTAAAGTCCTTAAAAACTCAAACCTCCTGTTCTCCTAAATTTATGGAAAAACATTTTTCCCCTCAAAGATTAGTGATTTCACAAAGAATCTGAAAACTAAACAAATTTTTTCTTTGAAGATTTTTTTCCTCTATGATAATGTGCTCTATTTGCTTGTTTTTAAAAATCAAAAACACTTAAAAATATATTTTAACTTACATTGCAGTTGGTTAACAAGGGGTATAGTATACCCCGCTAGTCCCCCACCTCCAAAATAGGAGCAGGACTTTAAAAAATAAAAAGGCAGGCAAGAACAAAGCTAGACACGGAGAGAAGAGAGATAGAAAGGGCTTCAGCAGTTAGCTCAGTCATGCCACAACTGACATACAACCAACTACTATTGCTTACTTTGTACTGTATTACCCAGTAAATACACTAAATTGTTAATTCCTTGGTAACAAACAATCTATTCTTCATTTTTGTACTGCCACTGCTTATCTTACATGAAGTAGTGCTGTTGGGTCAATTGCTTTCCATACATCTTCAGCTTCTTAATTTTAGCAAGATTTATTCTGATTAGCATCACCACAACAGAAACTATCCTCAGAAGAAATGTTCTTAACACGTATAGTGTGTTGTGTCCTTTGGTATAGTGTTTTACACTTCCAGGGTGAACAGAACAGAGGATGTGATGCAGAGGAATTAAATGTCCACATGAATAGTGATAACAGATTTTAACAAAAGTTGACCTTTCCCCACGTTTTACCCATTTTTAAACATCAGTGTTCCCTGGGTTCCTCTTTTTCATCTAGTATTAATTACTTTCCCTATGTCAGAACACCTAACACTGCAAATTTCTCAAACCATTTATTATGTTAATGACTTCTAAATCTGTATCTCAAGACAGAACACACATTAAGTCACGAACGACTCAAAAAGCATCTCTGCCACAGTTTATTGCCCTCTCATCTACCCTTACCACTATCAACAAGCTGTTTCTTCCTGTTTATCTAAAAAAAATTAACACTATAACTTGTACAGTCACCAACTCCCAGCAATAAGGCTGCAAGTCATCTTGGAGTCCCCTCATCTCCCACTAGCACTCGAGCATACACACTCTGCAAAATCCACTGAGCCCCATCCACTAATCTCTTCAACTTTTCTCAAACCTATCCCTGTTGCCACTAACCTTCAGTTTCCAAATTTGTGGTTTGTCATCTTGTCCTGACTTAAGGGTTCCACGCTAAATTCGGTCTCTCCAAATTCAGTCTCTCTATTAGCTAGAGCAATCTTTCTGAAGCACAATTCATTCTTTATTTTTTTAAGAAACAGAGTCTTGCTCTGTTTGTCCAGGATGGAGTGCAGTGATGTGATCACAGCTCACCGCAGCCTCAAACTCCTGGGCTTAGCTGATCCTCCAGCCTCCCCTCCCAAAGTGCTGGAATTACAGGCATGAGCCACTGCCCCTGGCCCTGAAGCACAATTCTTATCAAGTCACCTTCCATGTTTAAAGTCCTTCTGTAGACATGGATAACTCCCCTCCCCTTCAGTGTGGGCTGTACATAGTGACCTCTTTCCAAAAAAGGGGGTTGTATGGAAAAGCATGGGGCAGGGGATGGAAGAGCACTTTACAGCTGAAACATCAAACAAACTCAGATGTGTCTGCTGTGTCTGTGGTACTCAGCCAGACAACAAAGGTCAACACCAACAGTCATCAGTCTTGCTGATGGTACGTACCCTTGGATGGGATGCAAATGGCACTTTACTTCTACGGTCTTCCTACCCCAAACTTATAACCTCAGTATAATAATGAGAAAAATATCAGACAAATCCCAATTGAGAAACATCCTGCAAAATTTCTGAGTACTCCTCAAAACTAAATCGTCATCAAAAACAAGAAAAATCTTGAGAAACTGTCACAGTCAAGAGGAACCTAAAGCAACAACGCAACTAAATGTAATGTGGAATTCTGGAACAGAAAAGGGATATTAGGTAAAAACTGAGAAAATATGAATAAATCACCAACTTTAGGTAATAATTATGAATCAATCACTAATTGTAACCAATCTACCATAGTAATGTAAGATGTTAATAACAGGAGAAACTGGGCGTAGGGTATATGGAAACTCTCTGTACGATCTTTACAACTTTCCTGTAAACCTGTAATTACTCCAAGATAAAAAATCCTTCTACTGCTTCCCCCACTGTCTTCAGGGAAAAAGCCCATGGCATTCAAGACCCTTCATCATCTGGCCTGCTTATTTTTCTCACCTATGTCCCACACTCAGGACTCCATCCCTCACATGGTCATTACATTCCTGTGCCTTTCTGTTTTGCCACGTCTTTCCTCTAACCACTTCCTTCTCTTTATCTCTTCCCACCAGCTAACTCCTAATCATGCTTCAAGCCACCTCAAGGATCACCATCTTTGGTAAATGTGCTCTTACACTCCTAGTCAGGTTAGCAGTCCACACTCCTCCTCAATACCTTCGTAACACTGGGGACACCTCCTCTATGAAAGTTTAGACTCTTGTCATTAATGGTTTGCATAAAGATATGTGGAGTGAACAATGGCTTTGTAAGGAGCCAATAAGATCTGATGTAATTATTAACTATTATTATGTACCTGCCAGTAACTGGACTAACCACTTCACGCATCTGTCACATAACATACACACAAAATCCTCTAAGATAAGAACTGTTGTAGTCCACATTTAAAAAGAGGAGTTAAGTGATTTGCACCAGATCCTAACGCTGGTCAGGCTCTGAGTTCCCATCTGGGACTCAATCCCATGATGGACCTGAATCCCATTTTAGACACTTTGTTGCTGAGTGATGATGAACAAGGACTTAGCATCATTAATCCTAAAGAAAAATGAAGAAGATAATGCCCACCTTGCAGGGGTTTCCATGAGGATTAGAAAAGCCACCTATTAAGTACTTGGTACACACAGATGCTCCACAACTTACAATGGGGCTAGTCTTGATAAATGCACCATAAATTGAAAATATTGTAAGCCAAAAATGCATTTAATACACCTAACCTAATGAACATCATAGCCTAACCTACCTTAAACGTGCTCAGAACACTTATATTAGCCTGTATTTGGGCAAGATCATCTAACAAAGCTTATTTACAAAAAAAAAAGGGGGGGATGAATATCTCCAGACTAACAAGTTTGAGAACCAGGTAGGGTATGTAAGGGTATCACACCATATATTGCTAGCCAAAAAAAGGATCAAAATTCAAAATAAACTTTCTACTGAATATGTATCACTTTTGTGCCACCTTAAAGTTGAAAAATCCTTAGTTTAATATTTAAGTCAAAAACTGGCTGGGCACAGTGGCTCAGGCCTGTAAGCCCAACACTGTGGGAGGCCGAGGTGGGTGGATCACCTGAGATCAGAAGTTCGACACCAGCCTGGCCAACATGGTGAAACCCTGTCTCCACTGAAAATACAAAATTAGCCAGGTGTGGTGGCAGGTGCCTGTAGTCCCAGCTACTTGGGAGGCTGAGGTAGGAGAATTGCTTGAACCCGGGAGGTTGAGGTGGCAGTGAGCCGAAATCACACCACTGCACTCCAGCCTGGGTGATAGAGCCAGATCCCATCTCCCCTCCGCCCCCCAAAAAAAGAAACAACAACAAAAAACTATGATCAAAAACTGTACTTAATAAATAATAGCCCCATTGATGATAGACTGGACAGAGAAAATGTGGCACATATACACCCTGGAATGTTATACAGCCATCAAAAACGATGAGTTCATGTCCTTTGCAGGGACATGGATGAACCTGGAAACCATCATTCTCAGCAAACTGACACAAGAGCAGAAAATCAAACGCCGCATGTTCTCACTCATAAGTGGGTTTTGAACAATGAGAACACATGGACACAGGGAGGGGAGCACTACACACTGGGGTCTGTTGGGAGGAAATAGGGGAGGGACAGCGGGGGGTGGGGAGTTGGGGAGAGAGAGCATGGGGAGAAATGCCAGATATAGGTGAAGGGGAGGAAGGCAGCAAATCACACTGCCATGTGTGTACCTACGCAACAATCTTGCATGTTCTTCACATGTACCCCAAAACCTAAAATGCAATATAAATAAATAAATAAATAATAGGGATTATTTTCTTTTTCTTCTATTATTTGACATCTTTTAGACCTTTGTATCTTCAGTGTCTAGCACACTGTAAGTGCTTCATAAATGTTAAATAAATTAATATGCAAAACATAGGTTAGGTAGCCAATTAATAAAAAGTTTTAGAAAGGGAGTATATTGTTCTATTTATTCCCTTTCCTTCACCATAGCAATCCAGACTGACAAGTTTGAGAACCAAGTAGATTGGGCAGCAACTCATGTAGCTCTGATCTCTGGGATGCCACCTACTCCCTCTCTTCTTGTACCTCTCTTTATAAGAGCACTGTACCGGGGTGGGGAAAGAAAAAAAAAATAATAATAAGAGCACTGTACCCTCTAAGGGCATAAACTCTATTCCCATGGGTAAGTTATTTCAAAAATACTATGATTTGCAATATTCCAATCTGACAAAAAAAAATGAATGATTTCCCTTAGAACTGGCTCAAGACCAGACATGGTGGCTCACACCTGTAAACCCAGCACTTTGGGAGGCTGAGGTGGGTAGATCACTTGAAGTCAAGAGTTCGAGACCAGCCTGGCCAACATGGTAAAAACCCAGCTCTACTAAAAATGCAACAACAACAACAACAAAAAAAAAAAAACAGTTGGGCACGGTGGCTCACACCTGTAATTCCAGCTGCTCAAGAGGCTGAGGCATGAGACTCACTTGAACCCAGGAAGCAAAGGCTGACATGAGGCAAGACTGTACCACTGTACTCCAGCCTGGGTGATGGAGCAAGACTCTGCCTTCAAAAAAAAAAAAAAAAAAAAGAAAAAAAAAAATTGAACCGGCTCAATCACTGTCCAGTAACCTGAGTTCAGCCAATGGCTGACCTATGTCCCTTTTCTGATTCCCCAAGAAGGAAGTTAGATGCTAATCAAACACTACTAAAGTCAACTGTCCACTAGAAAGTCGAATTGTATAGTCAGTTTCTAACTAATAACATTTTATCTTCTCTCATTCTTTTGGACTCACAAGTGTCTTGGACTCAGAATCGATTTTCTCTAAGAGAAACCAGAAACGCTTTTCTTCCATGTTATCAATAACAAGCTTATTATTTACCACCAGTGTAATTTCGCCACATACGATCCTCAAACCAAAACAAAGACAAAACATTTAGAAGACCACTTAATTTCACAGTGAAATGTTTTAGGCTCAGGTTTCTTGTATTTCTCTTAACACTGCACTATCAGTAATGTAACATACTAATCAGAATGGGCATGGCTTTATTGATTTCACCACCAACCAATCCAAGAGAAAAAAAGCCCTGAAGCCACAGTCTGACTGATGGTGAGGCACCACCATCTTAAGAAGTACAGAGGGCTCAAATTATCCTTTAACACAATTATTCCCAACATCACTAAGACCCAGAGAAAACTTCCAACTACTGTGCCACCAGCTAAGGACACACCTTTAACATTACACCAATGTTGCAAGAGTTCCTTATAAAAGATTGAGTTAAGAAAAATGATAATATGGAATTCATTGCAAGTTTGGCAAAACAGGATGTTAGATGAGAACATAGAAAACCTGGCCACTAAAAATGTTGAGAGAAGTTGCATAAGTCTGTTTTCACGATGCTGATAAAGACATACCCAAGACTGGGCAATTTACAAAAGAAAGAGGTTTAACTGGACTTACAGACAGTTCCATGTGGCTGGGGAAATCTCACAGTCATGGCGGAAAGCAAGGAGGAGCAAGTCACATCTTATGTAGATGGCAGCAGTCAGAGAGGAGCGCTTGTGCAGGGAAACTCTCCTTCAGAAACTATCAAATCTCGCAAGACTCATTCCCTATCATGAGGACAGCACAGAAAAGACCTGGCTCCATGATTCAATTATCTCCCACTGGGTCCGTCCCGCAACATGTGGGAATTATGGGAGCCACAAAATGAGATTTGGGTGAGGATACAGAGCCAAACCATATCATAAGTGTACTGTAAATTAGTTCAGGCTTTCTGAAAGGTAGTTTGGCAAAGTTTAACCTAGCCTCTAGCAATTTATCCCAAAAGAAAATACTCACAGAGCTATGCAAAAACTTACCTACAAAGTTATTCATCAAGTGCTGCTGAAAAACAGCAATAAACTGGAAAGAACTCAAATGTCCAAAAAAGACTCACAATCTAGTACAACCATATAATGCAAACTGTACACATTAAAAGTTGCAGAGTCCTTTTCACAAGATGGCACCGAAAGCGAATGAAGCTCCTGCCTCTCCTAAACCCTAAGCCAAAGCGAAGACTCTGAAGGCCAAAGCAGTGTTGAAAGGTATCCACAGCCACAAAAAAAAAAAAAAAAAAAAAAAAAAAAAAAAAGGAAGATCCACACACCACCCACCTTCTAGCAGCCCAAAACACTGCAACTCCAAAGGCAGCCCAAATATCCTGGGAAAAGGACCCCCAGGAGAATCAAGCTGGACCTCTATGCTACCATCAAGTTTCTGCTGACCACTGAGTCTGCCATGAAGACAGAAGACAACAGCACACTTGTGTTCATTCTGGATGTTAAAGCCAACAAGCACCAGATCACACAAGCTGTGAAAAAGCTCTACGACACTGATGTGACCAAGGTCAACACCCTGATTTGGCCTGATGGAGAAGGCTTATGTTCGATTGGCTCCTGATGACGATGCTTTGGATGTTGCCAACAAAACTGGGATCATCTAAACTGCATCCCGCTGGCTAATTCTAAATATATGTGCATCTTTTCACCAGGGAGAAAAAAAAAGTTGCAGAAGTATATACATTTAATGACTTGGGAAAACCGTACATAAAGTAAAACATGCAAATGACAACAAAGTGCTGCATACTACAGAATCATCCATTATAACAGCTCACAGGCAGGGCATAGTGGTCACGTCTGTAATCCCAGCACTTTAAGAGGCCAAGGCTGGAGGATTGCTTGAGGTCAGGAATTTGAGACCAGCCTGGGCAACAAAGTAAGACCCTGTCACTACAAAAAAAAAAAAAAAATAGGCACAGTGGCTCACACCTGTAGTTCCAGCTACTTGGAATGCCGAGGTGGGTGAACTGCTTGAGTCCAGGAGTTCAAGGCTGCAGTGAGCCACGATCGTGCCACAATACAGCCTCAGCGACAGAGCAAGACTCTGCCTCAAAAACAAACAAAAACTCAGGTCCGATTCAAATTATGTTTCCATAATCATAACCACATGTGCTAACATCTTGCTATAGCTGATTGTCTTATCTCACTTCCTCTGCAGATATGTCTATCCTGAGCTGAAGGAACTCCCTCTGCTCACCTCTGATGAGAGAACTAATACCCAAGGAAATACTTTCCCCCAGTGCTTTTCCTAAAGCACGTAATACATAATTATACCATTGACTAAATTTTTCTTAATGAGAAGCTATTTCTTCTGTTTGAGTCTTATAAGGTTATAAAATGTTGAGAACAGAAAGCCAATGACATACTGTAGTTTCATGAAAGAGGATGGAATTACCACATATCCGTTGGTAAAACTAAAAACAGAGGACTAGCGGTCAGGCTTTTTAAAGGTCATATAACTGTAAGTGACTTTTCTTTCTTTTTTGAGACAAGTTCTCCCCCTGTTGTCCAGGCTGGAGTGCAGTGGGCCAATCTCGGCTCACTCCACCTTGGCCTCCCAAGTAGCTAGGATTACAGGCACCCACCACCATGCCCAGCTAATTTTTTTGTATTTTTAGTACAGACAGGGTTTCACCCTGCTGCACAGGCTGGTCTCGAACTCCCAGGCTCAAGCAATCCACCTGCTTCAGCCTCCCACAGTGCTAGGATTACAGGACTGAGCCACCGCACCTGGCCTATAACTGACTTTTCTGTAACTAATACAGATTTGTGAGGATTTTATTCGATTTCTACCCCCAAATTCTCTCTTTACAGTGCTTTATCCCTTTGAAAAAGAGCTGAGCAATATCACTACTATACAATTTTACCCTTTTTAAAAACTAACGTGAACTAATTTATAAAATAGTAAGTTTACAAAAGTCACTCTATACTAAGGAAATACCTATCCTTGTAATATTGTTTGAAGATGAAAGGATGAAATGTACCATGCAATCTCTTCATTAACATACCGATATGGTAATAATCATACTTTAACAATAGCCAAAAACCAGACGCTGTCAATTTCTCATTACTAGTCCCAGAAAAGACACATCTATTTTCTTCTTGATTTAGAATAGATTAAAAAGTTAATTTTGGCGGGGCACAGTGGTTCACACCTGTAATCCAGCATTGTGGGAGGCCAAGGGGGGAGAATCACTTGAGGCCAGGAGTTCAAGACCAGCCTAGGCAACACAGTAAGATCCCAACTCTACAGGGCATGATGTTGCACTCCTGCAGCTCCAGCTACTCAGGAGGCTAACACGGGAGGACTGCTGGAGCCCAGGAGTCCACGATTGCAGTAAGCCATGATCATACACCAAGCTGCACTCTAGCCTGGGTGAAAGAATGAGGCCCCATCTCTAAAAGTGGCGGCGGGCGTGGGGGACATGGGGGGGTAGTTAATTACAGAACATATGGGGGGGAAAGCTTTACCCAAAAACAAATCTATGCAAAATATCTTCAAATTTTCATGTTGTTAAGAAAACCATTCAAACCACAAGTATCACTCATAATGTACATCACATTCTTAAGAGTTGTGTTAACTAAAATCAGCATATCCACAAGATAGCCCACTAGGATGAATTAATTAGATGAGTTCAGAACTCAGACCATCAGTTTGAAATTCTAGATATGCATCTACAAAATTTAAAGACACTGGACACTTTATTTCAAATAGGGCTTTATTTTCTCATTTGGAACCAGTGGTTAAAGATACTCTGTACCTCACAGTGACAGAATTAAATGAGATTAAAAAAAAAAAAAAACATATATAAGGTGCTTAGCTCAATGCCTCAGCACAACATGAGCACACTACTCACTAGATTATTTATCTTATTATGAAAGCCAGTGTTAGGAGTAAAAGAACAGAAAACCACCTAAAAATAACTCAACATTAACTGCTTTATGCTTCTTGACTACGGCTGTCTTCTACATTCCCAAACACTGACTAGGCTCTACGTGGTTTATTCAGGCTGCAATAACGTCCTTACCACACTTTCTACCTCCTCTCTCTGCCTCCAAATCCAAGTTTATTATATAAATGGCAGCAGGAGATGCCGCTCCCATACTGTCCAGGTAACACTACTTCACATTACCCTTGCAAGAAGTCCCCACAAATTCAAGCAACTCTAGAAACTATTAAAGTTACAAAGGACTTCACAAATAGAGTTTACTTAATTTACAAGTGTGGAAACCATACACATGAAGTGTCTTGGCAGAGGTGACAGCGTCAAGGCCAAGCCTTTAATGCAGGACCCCACGCCTATTCCAGCCCAGAGCTCTCTGGAACACACTTTATTACATTATTACATTCATCCCAGACCTTTCCGGTTTGAGACATATGCATGCCAGAATAGGTTCCTTGTCCTGGTATTCCATCACTTTGCAGGAATTCAGTAAAATTAAGATAAATTTTTATTGTTGTTAATATTATGTTAGGCACCACCAGAATAACCAAAATAAAAATGGAAGACTTTACGAGCCCTAATGATTCTGGCACCTATTTATAAGTGCTGATCAGGTGAGACTTTTTTTTGATACTGAAGGCCACGAAACTCTGCATCAACAAAACTCTACTTGTTCATATGCAAATATAAAATTGCAGTAATTTATCCAAGTATTTATGGAGATCTTATCTAAAGAACTTCTTTTTTAAAAATCAAATAAAAAGCCCAGTAAGTCAGTAGAATAATGGGCAAAGACCTTTCCTAAAAAAAAGCAGCTTCCTTGTTGGAGAATTTCATATAATTTATGTAAATACTCCCCAAACCCCTCTAGGAGATGAAGCTTAGATCCTTAAATCCACCCCCTGCCCCGCAACTTGAGTGTAGGTTGGACTTACTAACTTGTTTCCAAAAAAAATAAGTATGGAAGGTGGTGAATGTATGCAGTAGAGAAACATGACCTTGGCCATGATTTTTTTTTTTTTTTTTCCCTGAGACAAAGTCTCACTCTGTTGCCAGGCTGGAAGTGCAGTGGGGCGATCTTAGCTTATTGCAACCACCGCCTCCTGGGTTCAAGCGATTCTCCTGCCTCAGCCTCTAAAGTAGCTGAGCTACAGGGTGCGCGCCACCACATCCAGCTAATTTTTGTATTTTTAGTAGAGACGGGGTTTCTCCATGTTGGCCAGATGGGCTCCGTCTCTTGACCTTGTGATCTGCCCACCTCAGCCTCCCTAAGTGCCCGATTACAGGCGTAAGCCACTATGCCCAGCCAGCCTTGGCCATGATTAACAGTACCAGCAATAAATCATGGTGTAGCATACACTACACCCCCCACCATTCCAACAGGATGAGATGAAAGGCACTTCACCTCTGGGGATTCTTCCCCAGATTCATAACCCTAGTCTAATCATGTGAAAAACAGCAACTGGGGAGATATCATAATTAAATGCAATGCATACGGTACCCTGGATTGGATTCTAGAACAGAAATGAATGTTAATGGGAAAAACTAGTAGAATCTAAATAAAATGTGGAGCTTAGTAATGTACCAGTGTTGGTTTCTTGATTTTGACAAGCACACCTTGGTGATATAAGGGAAACCTGCCAGAGGGGTCTAATAATTGATAGCATACAGGAAAGGGTTGGGGGTGGGTAGGTAGCCATCCTGTTCTGAGAAAAAAGTCACACTCTAAAAACTTTCCAGAATTCAAGTCACAAATTAAGAAAACCCTTTTTATTGTTTTTGTTGTTGTTGTTTTTTCAGAGTCTCACTCTCACCCAGCCTGGAGTGCAATGATACGATCTTGGCTCACTGCAACTTCTTGCCTCCCTGGATCAAATGGTTCTCATGCCTTAGCCTCCCGAGGAGCTGGGATTATAGGTGCACACACCAGCACAAACAGCTAATTTTTGTTTTGTTTTTTTTTTTTTTTTAGTAGAGGCTAAGTTTCATCATGTTGGCCACACTGGTCTCGAACTCCCAGTCTCAAGTGATCTCCCCATCTCGGCCTCCCAAAGTGCTGGGAGTACAGATGTGAGCCACAGCACTCAGCCAGAAAAACCTTCTTTAAAAAGCAGAAGGCTGGGCATGGTGACTCTTACCTGTAATCCCAGAACTTTGGGAGGCAGGAGGCGGGTGGATCACCTGAGGTCGGGAGTTCCAGACTAGCCTGACCAACAGTGAAACCCTGTCTCTACTAAAAATACAAAAATTAGCTTGGCATAGTGATAAGTGCCTGTAATCCCAGCTACTTGGGACGCTGAGACAAGAGAATCACTTGAACCTGGGAGGCAGAGATTGCAGTGAGCTAAGATCAAGCCATTGCATTCCAGGCTGGGCAACAGAGTGAAACTCCAGCTCAAAAAAAAAAAAAAAAAAAAAAAAAAGCCAGGCCGTGTGGCTCATGCCTGCAATTCCAGCACTTCGGGAGGCCAAGAGAGGCAGGCGGATCACTTGAGGTTGGGAGTTCGAGACCAGCCTGACCAACATGAAGAAACCCCGTCTCTACTAAAAATGCAAAATTAGCCAGGCACGATGATGCATGCCTGTGATCCCAGTACTTGGGAGGTAGAGGCAAGAGAATCCCTTGAACCTGGGGGAAAAAGGTTTCAGTGAGCCGGGATGGTGCCATTGCACTCCAGCCTGGCCAAAAAGAGTGAAACTCCATCTCAAAAAATATATAGAAAAAAAGAAAAACTTTAAAACTGCAGTCTACAGCTCATTTTTTAAAAAGAACAGCCAGGCACAGTGGCTCATACCTGTAATCCCAGCACTTTGGGAGGCTGAGGCGGGCAGATCACTTGAGGTCAAGAGTTAGACACCAGCCTAACCAACATGGTGAAACCCTGTTTCTAATAAAAATACAAAAATTAGCTGGGCATGGTGGTGTGTGCCTATAAACACACCTGCTTGGGAGGGTGAGGCCGGAGAATCACCTGAACCGGGGAGGCAGAGGTTGCAGTGAGCTGAGATCATGCCACTACACTCCAGCCTGGGCCACAAGGCAAGGCTCTGTTTCAAAATAAATAAATAAAATAGGCCAGGTGCAGTGGCTCACGCCTGTAATCTCAGCACTTTGTGAGGCCAAGGTGGGAGAATCACAAGGTCAGGAGGTCGAGACCAGCCTAACCAACATGGTGAAACCCCGTATCTACTCAAAAAATACAAAAATTAGCTGGGTATGGTGGTAGGTGCCTGTAATCCCAGCTACTCAGGAGGCTGAGGCAGGAGAATCATTTGAACTAGGAGGTGGAGGTTGCAGTGAGCTGAGACGGCGCAACTGCACTCCAGTCTGGGTGACAGAGCAAGACTCTGTCTCAAAGAAAATAAATAAAATAAAAAAATAAATAAATTAAAAAGAACACCCCTCATAAAGAAGAAAACTCTTATACTTGTTTCGGAGAAGCAATATAGTGGGAAACTGCCCTATATAAAGTTTGTCCTTAATCATTAGATTTGTTTTGTTTTGTTTTGTTTGAGACGGAGTCTCTCTGTCACCCAGGCTGGAGTGCAATGGCACAATCTTGGCTCACTGCAACCTCCGCCACCTCCACTTGAGGTGCTGATCACCTCAAGTGATCTGCCTACCTCAGCCTCCCAAAGTGCTGGGATTATAGATATGAGCCACCACACCTGGTCAATCATCAGATCTTGAGAGTGAACATAAAAGCTGACATTTAAAATTACACTAGAATTAATAAGCCAAAATTTCTAACATCAAAAAGGATGGGTAAGACTTCTGTGTTATGTCAGTTTTAATGTGAAGCAACAAAAGCATCATAAGAAAGGTTAAGAAGTTAGTTCCAAGAAGTAAATCGGTCTTAAGTTAGGATTAAAACATGGGTTTGAATTAACCTAACAAAAACCAGTATGCCATTATTCCTCGAACATGAGGACATGATGTCGCCTGAAAGGACTCACCAAAAAAAACCCAGGTGGGAAATCCTAAATCTATGTACTGACACTATGAACACATCCATATCCAGCACTGCGAGGCAGAACACTTTGCAAAGATATCCTCGAAAATATTTTTCACAAGTTTCTACCCTGTGTTTTGGGTTTACACAGTCAACCTAAATTACATAAGGAAAAAAAATTAAACTTTAGAAAATTTTTCTGGCTGGGCATGGTGGCTCATGCCACAGTATTCCATCCTGGGCGAGAGAGTAAGACTCTGTCTCAAGAAAAAAAAAGAAAAATTTTCTGGGCAGGCACTATCGGAGTAATCCCAGCACTTTGGGAGGCTGAGGTGGGTGGATGGCTTGAGGTCAGAGTTCAAAACCAGCCTGGCCAACATGGTGAAACCCCACCTCTACTAAAAACACAAAAAATCAGCCAGGCATGGTGGCACGCCTGTAATCCCAGTTACTCGGGAGGCTGAAACAGGACAATCACTTGAACTCAAGATGCAGAGGTTGTAGTGATCACACCACCGCACTCCAGCCTGAGTGACAGAGTGAGACTTCATCTCCAAAAAAAAAAAAAATATATATATATATATATATATTTTTTTTTCTCCCCTTAAAAATATCTCAGCTTGGCGGGCACGGCGGCTCATATCTGTAATCCCAGCACTTTGGGAGGCTGAGGCAGGCAGATGACTTGAGGTCAGGAGTTCGAGACCAGCCTGGCCAACACGGTGAAACTCCATCTCTACTAAAATACAAAAATTAGCTGGGCGTGGTGGCGTGCACCTATAATCTTAGCTACTCAGGAGACTGACGCAGGAGAATGACTTGAACCCAGGAGGCAGAGGTTGTGGTGAGCCAAGATTGTGCCACTGTACTCCAGCCGGGGTGACAAAGCAAGACCCTCAACTCAAAAAAACAAAAATCTCAGCAAAGTGATTTCCAAGAATGAAAAGAATCTGTTTCCACGCGAATGGGTACATCAAGAAACATTACAACTCATACAAACTTACTCTTAATTTTGGAATCCACTGCATTATCTGGTTCAAAGGTTTATTTCTTTTTTGTTGTTGTTGTTGTTGTTGTTTTTGGTTTTTTTTTTTTTGAGATGAAGTGTTACTTTGTCACCCAGGTTGGAGCTCAGTGGCGTGATCTCGGCTCACCGAGACCTCCACCTCCCAGGTTCAAGTGATTCTCCTGCCTCAGCCTCCCAAGTAGCTGGGATTACAGGGCCCTGCTACTACGTCCAGCTAACTTTTCTATTTTTAGTAGAGACAGGGTTTCACCATGTTGGGGTCCTGAACTCCTATCTCTGGCAATTTGCTCGCCTCAGCTTCCCAAAGTGCTGGGACTACAGGCACAAGCCACCAAGCCCGGCCTTCTCCCTCATTTTTTGTTTTACACATACAACCAGTGGGAGGTAGAGGACGGAACATGCTAGAAGGACATATTTCTTGACCACCTATTATGTGCCAGGCACTTTACAAAAAGGAGCTTGTAATCTTCACAATTTTCTGAACTATTAATAAATACCTAAACCAGTGCTTAAAAAATTAAAAGATTATAAAAAACATATGAAAATATCATAAAGCAAAACAAAAGTAAATTATAAAACATGCCATAGTTAAGGTATTGAGAGGAAGGAATGCCAATGAGCTTCACAGAAAGGGAAGAATGCCCGTGAGTCATTCAGCTTCCTGCCATTCTAAAATAAAGTACAACAGGTCAGATACTCACCAGCATTTAAACAGGATCCTTGTAGAGAAGAAACCAGAAAACTGTTTGCCTCCAGGAAGGGAAAATGGAAAGCTAGGAATGCACAAGAAATCTATTTCTCTTGTGTGTAACCCTTTTGGGTCTTTTAATTTTATACCATATGCCTGTACTGCCTAGCCAAATATTCAACAAAATATAACTTAAAAAAAAAAAAGTTGGCCGCAGTGGCAAATGCCAGAGATCCCAGTATTTTGGGAGGCCGAGGAAGGAAGATGGCTTGAGGCCAGAAGTTAGGGACTAGCCTGGAAAACATGCCAAGACCTCATCTCTACAAAAAATGTTTTAAAAATGAGCCAGGCATAGTGTCACCTACCTCCAGACCTAGCCACTTGGGAGGCTGAAGTAGGAGGATCCTTTAAGCCCAGGAGGCTGACACTGCAGTGAGCTTTGATCATGTCACTGCACTCCAGCCTGCGTGATGGAGAGATCCCGTCTCAAAAAAAAAAAGAGAGAGAGAAAAGAAAAAAACAAACAAAAAGAATAGAGGGCGGAAAAAAGTCAACCACAAGGAAAGAGGTGTGGCCAAGACCATCAGTTCTATTGCTTATTCTTTTTTTTTTTTTAGACATTTTTCTTCATTTTCTTACAGAGACAGGTTCTCACTATCTTGCCCAGGCTGGCTTCAAACTCAGGTTCAAGTGATCCTCCTGTCCTTGCCTAAGTAAGACTTCATTTCAAAAAAAAGAAAACAGAAAAAAAAAAAGAAATATGAGACTCGGCAATTTATAAAGAAAACAGGTTTAACTGGCTCAAAGTTCCACAGGCTGTACAAGAAGCATGATGCTGGTATCTGCCCAGCTTCTGGGGAGGCCTCAGGAAACTTACAATCATGGTGGAAGGCAAAGGGAAAGCAAGCATATGTTACATCACCAGAGGAGGAGCATAACAGAGAAGAGGGAGGTGCTACGCACTTTGAGACGGACCAGATCTAATGAGAACGCACTCACTCACAACAGCACCAATGGGGATATCCAGCCCCATAATCTAATCATCTCCCACCAGGCTCCACCTCCAACACTGGGGATTACAATTAGACACAGATTTGGGTGGGGACACAGATTCAAAGCATATCTAACAACTATGAGCCTTCTATGAACTATTAAAGAATAACACTATAGGCTGCGTGTGGGGACTCATGCCTGTAATCCTAACACTTTGGGAAGCCAAGGCCAGCCTGGGCAACATGGAAAAACTTTGTCTCTACCAAAAATACGAAAAAATTAGCTGGGTGTGGTGATGAGCACCTGTGGTCCCAGCCACTCAGGAGGCTGAGGTGGGAGGATTGCTTGAGCCCAGGAGGTGGAGGCTCCAGTTAGCCAAGACTGTACCACTACACTCCAGCCTGGGCGACAGTGAGATCCAGTCTCAATTTAAAA